TGCAAGAGCTACTTATATATGAGGTCTCGCGACGTCATAGTGATTGAGACATAGTTTTTGGAACTGAAACTTCAATAGGGTTTGTTATCATGAAGTATCGTCACAAAGAAAAGAATTCTCATATTCATTCAACTTCTTCCATTGGCTCCGTTTCATTTACGACCATAAGTTTGATCGCTTTGCAAGGCATCGTGTACTCGACAGTTGTGGTGTCATCCTTCTAAAAATAAGAACGCTATCTTTCCTGCCTGAATTCAGTGTTGTAGTTGCCAATTACAAGCATTATCAATGACCTCAATCTCTTCGCATTCAGGATCCTGCCAGTAATAACCTGAATCGCTGTACTTTACTGGCCAAATTGAAAGGTATCCATCCTCACACACAATAGAATTTTCGGTTTTTGGTGTCGCAGAAGTTTTGTCCTAGATGACCGAAATAATAACTAGAAAAAAATTGCCAAAATGTTATATAATAAGGGGAAGACGATTCTGGAATCGCTTTGTCGTCCCGCCCACTATTTTCTGCGTCTCCAGGTGGCGGGGCGGGTGAAACGCACAAAAGTTCCCAGCGCCTCGCCGTTTTTCCTTGGGCAAATTATCAGAACCAATCCGACAACACTTTCTGAAGAAGTCTTTCCCTCTTAGCGTCGACTGTGATGCTTCCGTTGAACACTTGAGATCTTTTAAGATTAAAATCAATAGATTGGAATGAGGATGACGATTTTGAATGTAGGTAGTGGTATTAATAGGGGAAGTAAGGCGTAATCATCCCTTTTCATAAGAATTTTTTGTTTGGGCTATAGACCACATCTTTCCCTTTGATTCTGGTTTGCGAAGTAAATCGCAAGATTCTGGTAAGAATAGTTATATGCAAACTGAACATCGCACTGGAAAGATGATTTTTTCCTCTAGGGCTTGTTTCTATTCACTTGCTTCAAGGGAATCTATAGAGAACTCCTACTACGCCTCCTTCGGTCTTGCGCTGATTGGTCCGTGCGTGTGGCGGGACAGTGAGCGGTTCAGAACAGCCTCTAACTATTTATTCGGAAGATTTTTGAGTATCTTGCCACACTGGATAGTTTTTCAATTAACAACAGTACACTTGTCGTGAAGCTCCCTCTTATCCTCCTCTCAGGCCTAATTATATATTGATACTGAAAAATGTCTTTGCTTGGATTATCTCATAGAAAAATGTACTTATTTTTTGTTAAAAATGGCAAGATCCTCAAAAATCTTCGTAAAAAATTATTCGAATTAAATTGTTACTAGTACTAGAAAACTCACCGTTACAAAAAGGAACTCAGTACTTTCACAGTACTTCGTCCACTGAATATCCCTAGTTACTTCTTCTTTATTGAAAAAACGTTCTCGCCTCCATTTTTTGCCTGGAACTCCTTCGAACATGACTACACCGCCAACCTGCAATATTTTTGCTGAGTACACGGTATCACAGAATTACGTATAATAAATTTCGTTGAACACATCACCTTTACTTTGCGGATAGATATGCATTTGTCGCAATCAGATAATTCTTTTTCCTGACTGCAAACGATAATCAAGAGAATAAGCGCCAACTGTAGCCACATGCTCTCCAAGAAGCAGACTTTCAGATTCTGATTAACGTTAAACTAAATATATTCTTCCTCTTCCACAAGTTATAATTGATTCAAATTGACGCAATGTGTCATGTCGTATTAATTATGAAGACATTACGACAAGAGCTTTAATTATCGTCAATAGTTCCGCATTCGTGAAAGAATGATCGCATCATGTTTTGAATAGTAAATTTTGGAGGGAATGGAGCACCGCGTTTAGAATGAAAAGCCTGAAAATGGGCAGAGACATTGAAATGCTCTATGTAAAAGGATCGGCATTTTATGTACTGTCAGAAACAGAAATGACATGTGCGCGAGGACGAGGTTTGAATATGGTAAATAGTAGACAATAACAGGAATCGCGAAGGGGCGAAGGAGGGGCGGGAGGAGGAGGTAGGTAACGTCATACAAAACTCCCTTACCTGCTTTATCTTAGAAATGATGAGAGAGGAATGAGATAGAAAGTTGCCATGGGTATGACTTCAAATTTTCTACGCCCTCTGAAGTGATGTTTACCCGTTACATTGACTTTCGAAGCTTTCTTTTCTTTAATTAATTCACTATAGAGATGTTTAACGAGAACTTTATGACTATGGAAAGCGACATGTACTCGGAGATTAGCGAACGTAAAATGCATTATTTGATGGCAAACCATTACCTATCAATCCTAAGCAGCATAGGCTTTTTACTATTTCTAACTAGTTGGTTTAGGACACAAGGTCGAACAGATGCTGCCTCAAAAACATCTGAATGAATATGTGGCTTAAGTGAACTGCTAAAACATGAGAACAGCCCATATTTATACAGAAAGCAAAAAGTTATTGTAGTATAAAATGCCGCAATATCTTCCGCAAACAATGCAATCTAAAAATGTATTTGAGTGATAATCCGTTACATATGTACATGTAGTATCGCTTTTTTCCGAAAAAATCAAAAATACATGCGTGCATTTAGTAAGGTGCTTATGGAATTACCGGAGAGCAGCGATGTACAGCTTGCAGGGAAAAGGAGTTTTTTTTAGTAAAGATAAGTATATGTTTGTAAAGAAAGCCTCCGTTTCGCACGTGTAGCTAAGGTACAGAGCTTTTTTTATAGCTCAAAAACATTTTCTCTTTGAAACCCTCAGATTTTTGATACCTTCAGATTAACC